GACAAGCTCGACGCTTGAGTACGGCTCACCCAACTATTGTCCGATCACAAGTGGTGTGGTGCAGACTGGAACGAGTCCAGAATGTAGCTACCCGGCTCATCTTCAGTTTATGGGGTGTCGTACGAGGACCGAGGTAGTAGACTAGGGCTTTATGCCTTGTCACATCGTCGGTTTCGAGTTGATCTTGTTATGACGCACCGGATATGGTACCTGGGCCACTTCCCTATGTTGAAGCCGCTGCTGCACGTTCGCGCACCAAGCAGCACACGCGGACACTAGTACAAATAGTGGTGCCAGAATTGAAGTGCATCGGTCACCCTCATATGCTTCGAGTGGTGAAATATTGCGACAAAGTGCCAGACTCTAGTCGAGGCGAAATCTGTCGGGAGTTAAGGGATTCCTTGACGTCCAGTTTGTGGACTGCAGGTATAGGGAGTGTGGCGCAACCGGACAAGATGTAGTGCAGCTGCAATATGCTGCCACTGCGCAGGAATCAGCGACCTGATCCCGGACATGTGCACGATCCACCTACGATGGAGCAACACAGATTTCTATCTTATCGTTCTCTATTCTCAGTGTTCAGTCGTTTCGGGATATGCGTTGCACCCTCAGAGTGCAAAGTTCTCCAAAATTGGCAGGGGGTCATCCCTGCACTGACCCTGTTGATAGGCTAGACATCCAGAAATACAACTCGGCAGCTATATTAGCGCTTGTGCGATCGAAGATGACATCAACAGTAGTGCAAAAACTCGAGGTGATTTAGTCAATCTCGGCCACCTGTAACGACGGCGCGATATCAGTCTCGCACTGTAGGACAGAGTTTACACTGCGGCCGCCCGTTCAACATACCTTTGCGGTTGCGGAATCTGGCCCATTAGGTGAACGGACACAAAGAGGCTAGCTACGCTCGACAGTCGCTGGCTTCGCAGCTTAGCTGATGTCTGGTGGTAACACCGTGTGTATTCGGCGTCGTGACACAGGAAGAGCGAGTAAACTGCTCAGCACCGCTATATCACGCATTATGCTCCGATAGCTGGGCCACGTGTTGCGCATGTCAGCACACCGACTCTTGCGTTAGTTGCATGCTCGGGGTCTGGATGGAAAAGGAGGGAGGCCAAACGATGACTTGGTTGAGAATGAGGGCCCTCACTTCGAACTTGGTGTCGGTTGGGGACCGGAGGACGAAGAACACATCTGATTAGATACACTTTTAGATATGGCCGATCAAAATGACGTTTGTGTTCTCTTTGTTTTTCCTACCCCATTAAAATTTTACTTTGGCACCGATCCCACACCCCATGCACAATATGGTATTGTTATATTACTATACAGTTTTTATAGTTTGTAACGTAGTTAAGCTTGTATTGCGGCATAATAATTGAGATTTCAGATCCACACCGAAGGCGTATTGAAAAGAAAAACTTCACGTAACCAGCACAGTGGGTGCTGCAGTAACTTGCTGAGCAGGTGTGATGCTAGTGTTTCTTTTTAGATCCATTGGAGTCTCGATGCCTCTGATCTCTTCCTGAATCAACGATCAGTTCAAGAAGGAACACTCACGCTATTCTTCCGTCGTTGCAGTCCTACCTGAACTTGAAAAATGAAGACAAATCATGGCCAAATTTCTGTCAATGTGCGATGTCAAAATCAAGTCGCAACGATATCAAGGATAATGCAGCGAAAAATTCCGAGCAAAAGGAGTCCCAGGTACTAAAGGCAGCATAGTCTATCAACCAATTGGGACCAAACCTAAGTCCCCGCTCCACTGCCATCGCTTTATGAAGCAACCATGCTGGAATAGCTTGGACGGTATTGCAGGTGTGGCTCAATGGATGGGTTGAACAATTTATGATTTTTTGCGCAGCCTTAAGATGTCGTGAATGCAATTTTCCTAGTAACAAACACAGTTCACTATCAACAGAAATCGAGTTCCAAATAGCCAGCGCAACAGTGAAAAACGTAAGGCTACACCGAAAGTCGCTCCCAGTGTCCCACTGGGACAGCCAGGGACACAAGACGCTCACTCGCGCTGACGGCCAAAAGTGCACAAAGCAACTATTGACTAGACTGGGTGTAGGATTTTCTTAAAAAGACGACTTTTACCCTATTAGCACCAACGGTCACCCCAGCACCCGATGCCGGACACTAATCGGGTAGCTGTAAAAGGTCATACGTGATGTCATGTGATACTGTTCACGAGTGTAACCTGACACAGCATGTCTTAACACGGACGGTCCCTGGTCAGACGCCAAACATTCTAGACCTGGTTCTCACCTAGACCCCATCTGATATCTCAGATCGAACGATCCTCCAACCTCTTGGGAAGAATGATCACTGTACAGTCTCGTTTTCGTGGGCACGATGCTTCATAATAAACGATCAGGAGACTGCGTCTAGATTTTTAGCGTACTGACTAACCCAGATTAAGAGCAGCTGCAAGCAACATGGACTAGAGTATTCTGCAATCCTTTGAGCTTGATGAAGCACGGGGACGGCTACGATCTATGATGATGCTGTTCATTGAAGTGTGTTCCGAACTGCAGGAGCGGACCATCATCAAAAGCACCCCCATGGACTGATATAGAAATAAGACCCTTAATGAAAAACCGACAAAACATATGGGACCATTTCAAGATCAGAGGACTGACATCAAGCTACTCAGAGTACAAACTGTCGAAAACCTATACACCATTAAAAAACGAGACAACAGACTACAATACGAACATGAACGGGCCACGGTATCCAAAAACTGTACCAAAAAGTCGTTGCCTAGCTGTAGCGAAGTCAAAAAGAGTAGTGGAATCCCCGCTTTATCCTCTTCTAAGTATGGTATTGTTCTCTACGGCGATGGTGAAAAAGCAAAGGTACTGGCCGCGCAATATTCCTGTCTACTCATTGGGATCTCTGCCGCTCAACAACTGTTTGCTTGCACATTACTACTCTCTGGACCAAGCTGAAATTAACCCCGAAATAATTACGAACCTACTCCTTGAACGGGACCTGAATTCCCCTCACCCCAGGCCCGGACGGATTGCATCCTAGCTTCCTCAAAAGGATAGCTGAGTACATCATCATCCCTCTCTGCCAAGCATCTTGGCACTCCCTCAAAGTAGGCCGTGTACCCACAGGCTAGAAAGCAGGTACCGTCCTGGCCAAATACAAAGAGGGAAACCAACAAGACCCGGAGAACTACTGGCCAATATGCCTGAGTCGTATGTAAAACTACGGAACGAATAGTCAAGCGCGCGTTTCGACTATAACGGGAACCTAAACATCTCACCCGCTCAACATGGCTTCCGGAGAGTACGGCCATGCACCTCTAACTTACTCACCGCCAGGGAAACATGGACAGAAGCCATAGATGTCTGAAAACAGGTTGACGTAATATTCATTAATTTCAGTAAAGCGTTTGATAAAGTTCCACACGTACGACTGCTACACGAGCACCAGAAAATTGGCATTACAAGAAATCTCTCCTGGATTGCCGATTTCTTAAGAGGTAGGACAATGTGCGAACAAGTTAACCAAACCCTCTCTGATCCTGTGCTTATGACTAGTGGCGTTCCTCAAGGATTAGTGCTTCAAACTGCACATGTACGCTCTGCCGACTGCATTTCAAACTGACTGCTTGATCTATGCCGATGGCCTCAAGCTATGGTCAACAGTATCCAGCCTTGAGGATGCGGAAAGATTACAAGGGGATCTGCACCAGCTACACGAATGGTCCGTCAAGTAGGAAATGCTAATAAACCGAAATAAATGGGCTATTCTCTAAATGGGTAGCACTGAACCGTACAGTGCATACATTGGTGGGTTTCTCCTCAGGACTACAACATGAGAGAGATCTCGGTGTTATCGTGACGTCTGATCATAGAACGACGCAGGACACATTGAAGATGGCCACTGGAAAAAGACTGGTGGGGGGTCATTAGGTAGATCAATCCTGAGATTTTTCGACCTTTGTTTATTTCGTACGTCTGTTTAATACTCTAATATGGCCTACCAGCTATCCATCCGCCTTCAAAGTTTGAATGCGCTCTGATGGTAAAGGTCCAGAGACATGCATGGAAAACAGTTTGGGGCTTCGACTCCCGCAGCTAAATCTGTTCTGCTTAAAGTTCCGCGTCGACGGGGTGATCTTATATAAATGAAGCGCACCTTCCGAGGAAAAGTGAGTTACAGTAATTCTTCCAGCCAAACACTGCCACGAGATCATAAGTAGAAGCAGTATAAGCAAATATAGAATTCGCGTAGACGTCACCCTATTCACTAGAGTGGTAAATAATTGGAACGGTGTATCGGAAGAAATTGCAGACGCACCATCCGAGAAGTTTCAGGCGGCTGCTAGATAAACATTCGCTGCGAATGCTGGAATCTTGCAGGTATCAATACAATTGCGACGAAACCTCGAGAAACGTCGTAAGGCAGTGACGCATCGAACCCAGTATGGTAGGGAATCGTAGGGGCTGACAAGGGTTGTAGCTCTTGTTCTCTACAACTCAATGAATCAGGGGCTCCAAGCCTGAATAGCAAGCTCCAAGTGGGGTCCAAGAGAAGCTTTAAAGAGGCGGAAATTGCTAGGGTCAATTTGAACGAAGGCTTGTTTTATCAATTCCACCATGCAGTTAGCAGCAGATACTGCTTTCCTGCAAGAAGCGAATACAGACTCATCCGAGTAATGAGACCGGTCTCTTCGGCTGACGAGATCTGGAGGATAGACGCTTGGAGATGTAAGCGTTTTCGATCAAACCGTGCACACTTAACAAGAGTGGAAGGAAACGCATCACAACTACGAAACAGACAAGACGGAAAGAGAGAAACAATCAAGTACAGGCAGTATAAGTTCAGACACATAATTTATCGGTAATAAGATAATTAGCAACGTAAGCAGGAGATGAGAACAAACAAAGCGGGCATAAAATAATCGACGATGATCAGAATGGGATTATGTCATCGATAGTGAGAGGGAAAACAGAAAAATGGCATTGGCAGGCACTTACGATCAGCCATTGAGGTGCAAACACAACCAGTTAAAACAAACGTTTGCGAGGATTCCTGGAAGAGTAATATGAATTGTTAGTCACTTGTATAAATACAAAGAAAGCACGCACTTACATGCGTCTTTTAATTATCGTAAATTTATTTGTTGCATTTGGTCTTTTTGTGCCCGTTGGATTGCGACAGTCTGGATATTCCATCGCATTCAAGTTCATATGCAAGTTTACAACAGTCTGCAGATACCCAGTTTTGCCTGTGTAACATATTAACTAAAATTATTTCACTGTACACTTAGACGATCGGTATGGTTTTTGAACTTGTTATTGAGTTCGTATGTTTGGCTTGCTAATGGAATTTTTTGTGTGGCCCTGGTTACGGTAGCAACGCGCGACTTCCCTGTGTGCTGGGCATCCTCCGTTCCCCTAGCTAGAGCATAAAGGGTGTCGTCTTTTTATAGCTAGGTAACAGTGATCTTTTACTATACCAATAAATGCTTCCCTACAACGCCAGCTGCCTTCCGGGGACATTTGGAGGAAAGCAGCTCGTAGAGGCTCCCGCATGATGTGACTGATTCGCCGCTCCTTCGGTGCCTTAACGGCCAATATCTCTGTGAAGCTCTTCTCAGCTTCTGTGTGATCCCACTTGGAGTACCGTATCCAGGCTTGTCCACCTTGTTTTGTAAGGGACAAACTGGAAATGGAGAGGGTTTTGCGAGGGGTAAAAGCTTAGTACAGTGAGTACGGGGGCAAACCTATCCCACACGTTTGCATGGCTTGGGTTTGTACTCAATGCACTACCACAGAATTAGTGGAGCGTTGATCCTCACTTACCGTATCTTAACGGGTAACAGCGGTCCAGACTTGTCTTGGCTATCGAATCTTGCCAAGGTTTCTAGTCTCCGAGGTCACGCGTTGAAGCTGCGCAAACTGCGTTCAGACCGGGTAAGAACAGAAACTAGCTTGTCACACCGAGTTATTAAACGTTGGAACTCGCTTCCAGCGCACGTCGTTAGGGAGTTTACGGTTGAGAGTTTTGAGCGTCAGTTAGATGCCCTCGGGTGACAGTACCAAATCTTCCCGTTCTCCTAACCGACTTGTATTTTCAACTGTCTTTACGTTTATTTTTAATTTCTTCTCGCACATTGGTATTATCATTATTTAGCTGACCCTCCTCCTCTTGTTTTCTTAGCTTACCCTTCACTCTTTTACCGCACGTAAACCGGCCCGGCAGGGACTGTTGGACGGAAACATGTGGGCAGTAATTGATTAGAGAGGGTGTGATGCGGTCTCCGTTTTCGGTTTTTCAACATCTCCAGCAGACATATCCATTCCCGATCCAACTATACGCAAAAGAAGAAACACTCACAGGATTCTCCTATCGTTCCGGTCCCTAATGAACTTGAACTTGAATCGTTTATTGGGCTCCCACTACGGGCTACTCGGTAAAGTAGTGACCTCTACTCCGGAACAATCTCTTAGCCTGAATTTCTTATTTCGCTCCAATGAGCTAATTGCATTTATTTTTCATACCTGCGGGCTTATTTTTGCATACGATAGCCTATTTTTGTACCATTTTTAAACCATGCATTCGCTTGGCCCTAGGGTAGCGTCTCACCATGGCGTTGTAGCTCTCCGTGCCACCTTTTGGGCGTAAATAATCTTTTTGGTTCGCTCACCTTAGGGCTGACATTTATAACCACAGAATAACTTCCGACTACTCGAAGTATAGCAAGCTCATATCCTAGTTCCGCAAGACGATCTTACTGCGGGCGCGAGACGTTACCATTTCTCAAACCGAAAACCAGTATGAGACTCGCTAGGAGACGTGATTAAGCGTGTTATGCCGTCTGAGATAGTGCACCTGCAGCAGCTTTGTAGCGATCTGCAGCTGGGCGACAAACTGCCCTCACCTCTGCTACAAAAGTTGCAGCAACTGCTTGGTTCATCAACTAAATAAATAAATAAATAAATAAATGGTATATTCTCTGTAAAACGAGACTTTACTTCGCGAACTATAGATGCAACGGCTACCGGAAAACACGCAAGCAATTATTGCCGTCATGTGCTTCGTTTCGTTCACGCAACTAACAGATGTAGCTGATGGAGTCATGGAACAATCACAGCCACAAGCCGCTGCCAGCAAAGCCAACACCGTCCCGTCCCAGGGCACTTCTATCACTGGCTGACAGTCAACCATAGAAGCTCTGCAAACGCCAGTTTCGTCACTTAATCGCCAGGTGTACCGGCTTACTATGAACCGTCGTCGTCACAGCTGCTCAAAATCGTCTTTCAAATCTTCCAAATCCGGCAACAGGCAGACTTGTTGTTGGTACAATCTACTTTTTGGTACCGAGGACCGTATAGGTATCAAACTTCGTAACTTCCCGGAGAAGCAGGGCAATTTCTCGGCCTGCCCGTAACGTCGCCGGACGCAGCCGGCAAACAACAAATACACGTCATCTGCGTTAGTGATTTAACTGTCGGCACTGAGTTCCCAGTGACGCTGGAGCCGAAGTTAGCTTTATATCCCGTAGCTCAGATGGACTCGTCTCACCCTCGCCGAACAAGCTGCGTGACACCAATGGCACACCAATCACAACTTTCGGCGAAAGGCTGCCGACACACAATTTAGGCCTCCGGCGAACCTTTCGCAGACTGTTCACAGTGGTAGCCTGCCTTTTGCCATCCTAGGCATAGACTTCTTTCAACGCTTTGACCTCATCGTCGACGCTAAAAGGATGGTAACTGACTCTAGGACACAGCTCAGCCTTATCGGGACTAGCGCCAACGTCGCTGCTCTCACTCCCCTTCGTGTCCTGCTTCAAACTTCCCAGCCTTTTATAGCGCTTTACAGCAATCACCCTAAACTCGTTCGCGTTTCGAAAGGCTTTTCGCTTATGACGTCAAACGTCATGCATCACATTTGCGCTAAGGGTCCAACTGTTTCAGCTCTCTCCCTCAGACTAGCCCCGGGGAAGCTCAAAGTTGCTAAGGCGGAATTCGAACAAATGCTAGAACTGGGAATAATCCGCCTGTCCAAAAATCCATTACACATGGTGTCAAAGAAATGCGGTGACTGGCGCTTCAGTGCTGACTACGGGGCGCTTAAAAAACTTACTGTCGAGGATAAATTCCTAGTTCCGCACATGCACTACATAACCTCAGCTCTAGCTGGTGTGCCTGTCTTTAGCAAAGTCGACCTAGTTCGCGTCTACCATCAGATATCTGTGGCGTCAACCGACATTTCTAAAACAGCAGTCATCAAGCCATTCGGCCTATCCGAGTATCTCAGAATGCCTTTCGACCTCAGTAAAGCTGCTCAATCATTTCAGCGTTTCATTCATGAGGTAACGCGAGGACCCCAGTATGTGGCGGGTCTTCATCTGGCAAACGTTCTCCCTATAAAATGTCACAAACGTCCGTTTATCAACACTCTGACGTGGCGGATGTGACGCTACCCAATAAAGTCACTACTCACTGTTACACGCTGGAATATCGACTAGTCATCCTTTAATATTTTCCTGACACGTCCAACAAAGATACTCTCAGGGTTCGTATATGTCCACACTCCAACTACTGTGTTTTTTATTTACTGCACACATACATGGAACTATTTTATCGGCACCCCACTGACCACTTTGCTCCTCATAAGCGCTCCGATGCTTTCTGCAAAGTGTACAACTTTTGGCCAAGGCCATTTACGTGCGTTCTACCGTATCTATTAAGCCACATAATTGTTTGTAAAGTTTGCGCCTACCTGAGTTGGTATGCCTTGATGAATTCGAGAATAACGTATTTATTTATTTATGCTTATCTAGATGACATACTCATCGCCAAATTTGCTGACGGTGAAAATCTACAGCACCTCGACGCTCTCCTCTTACGCTTGACGTAGCGTGCGGTTACCGTCAACCCCGATAAATGCGAGCTTGACCAAAGCGCCATCGACTTGCTTGGCCACCGAATATCGGCATGTGGTATTGAAGTTCTGCCAGACAAAAGGCAGGCACTTACCGACTATCTTGCTCTCAGTTCCTTTAAACCGTTACGCCGATTCCTTGGTCTGCCCAATTAGTATCCACAATTTATTCCTAACTGCATGAGCAATGGCTAACCCATGACTAAATTGATCCGCTGTAATCAACGGTCTTTAATTTTTCAGATGACGCTGGACGGTCTTTTGAAAACCTCGAGGACGCTATCGCCAACCTAGGGCTTCTCGCCCACCCAGTCACATCAGCACCACTCTCCCTGACAACTGCCGCATTCGACACAGCTATCAGTGCAGATTTTCAACGATTCATGGACCATCGATGACCAGCCAGGCAACCTCCATGTGGTGCCAGCTGGGTGGTCCAGGTTAATCCTGTTCCAACAAATGGTCCGGCGGCAGTGTTCCAGGAAGCAGTGGGCTTCGCCTGGCAAAAGTTCTCCCTATAAGAAGCCACAAAGTTTTGTTTGTAGACACTGTGAAGTAGCGGGTATGACTTGCCACTACATAAAGTCACTGCTTCCTGCATTTCCGCAGGAGCTAACCCCGTTCACGGACGTCAGCCAGTTCGAAGATAATATTTCATAAATTCCAACGTTGTGGTGTTCACCCAACATAACCACAAATACGGCACAACAGTTATAAATTCACTCAACATAATTACTAAACCATGCACTTACATATAGTTGGCGGCATCCGGTTTCGGATTTGCCTGTCACGGTGATCAGCCACAAGACGCCTGTGCCTTCAGAGGGACCATGGATGGCTTGCGCTGCACCACCCACTGCTCCAACCACACCACCCCATATCCAGTGTAAACCCGAAGGAATAAGACCGGGAGGCATATGGATGGGAGCCAGGTTTCATCAACGGAGCCGGCCCACACTCCTTCACAGGCAAACACAAGCACGCTGTATTTGAGGAATCAAGTGCACACAAGGCGGTGGCTGGACCGTAATCCGCTCCTAAATGAGTGCAAGGAACCACTCTTCGAGCCTAGCATGACCACAAGGACCGTTCACCCTATTTCCCCAGTAAAAATCAACTCTCCTAGAGAGAG